AACCCATTTAAAGGCTCTGAGGGTTGAGGGCTTAGGGTTTAGGGCTTAGGTTTTAGGGTTTAGGGCTTAGGCTTTAGGGTTTAGGGTTTAGGGTTTAGGGTTTAGGGCTTAGGCTTTAGGGTTTAGGGGGTTTAGGGTTTAGGGTTTTAGGTTCTGCGACTGAAATCATGTTGCTGGAGGCACTTCAGAGAGACCTCGTTCCAAATGAAGGGCTCCTCTGAGCTCTCTAATTACTGTATAGGTGTTCTAGACTTCTAGAATTAAGGTTGTGCGGCCCCATTGGAGGCTGATTTGGGTTCTATGTTAAGGTTAAAAGGGGTTCGCAAGAGGGTGTAGGATTTTAGGGCCACTTGCTTCGTCATAGCAGAAGAGCGCTTCAAGTGATAGCATGCCAAAACCGCATTGTCATGTTTGGTCGAGTGGTTGAGTAACTGGGCTTAATATTGCCAAGGGTCCTAAGTGCCTATATTTTGGAATGTACCAGGGTTTCTATTTCATCGGAATGGTGTTTATGAGTTCGGAAAGTATCCCCCGCAACAGTGCCTAGGACCCTTTGGGTCTTGAAGCCCCAAAAACCCCTAAACCCTAAACCCAAAAACCCGCAGCTCCAAGCCCGGAAAGCGGCGCAGCTTTGGTTTCCGCAGGGTGTGACGTCCCGGCCGAGTTCTTTGGCAGCGTGAGGTACAACACGAGCTGCACCTCGGGTTGCACGGTTTAGGGGGGGTTTAGGGTTTAGGGCTTTGTATTGAGCCACTTGAAGCAACCATCATTCTCTGACGTTGGGCGAGGTCCCTGATGTAAGAAGTTTTCAGGCACCAGGCACAGCGGATCGGGCTAGGAAGCATGAACGATCACAGCAATTAGGGGGCGTTGTTATCCCTAGATCTTTTTCTTGCTCCTACCTTAACTGTTGCTCCTGATTTTGAACCCGGCTCTTGCTCGTGAACCCCCTAGTGCAAATTAGGTTTTAAAGGGCGGGGATGACTCGGTAGGATTGGCCGAAGGCTTTCTTATAATTAGGGGGTGTTGAAGTACATGTAATGGGGGAAGCGAAGAGTCACGAACAGCCATGTTAACGTTTCATAGCGAGAGAAAGAAGCATGCAGAAATGGTTGGTAGCAGCAGTGAATGCAGGCAGACGAACGTGCAAGTTTGTTAACAATCAGCAAATACCATCAGCAAGGCCAGCAACGGAAACATGCCTTCTAGTAGCACTACTTGGAGGTTCATGGGTAGTTGTCAGGGGTCATAAGTAGGGCATCTATAATTACGGCCCATATTCAGGAACTTGTAGCCCCACTTAAAACTACCCATGAACCCCCAAGTACCAGAAGCAACGAAAGCGGCGATCCTCAATGGGTTCTCAAGCACTAGAAGACTCCGCAACAATTTTCCATGCCCCCTTTAGCCGACACTCTCAGGGGCTTGAGGTTAGCCGACACTTTTTTGTGGTTTTGGGTTAAGCCGACATTTTTTTAGGGTTTAGAGTTTAGCCGACACCTTTTGGAGTATAGGTTTAGCCCACACTTGTTGAGGTTGAGGCTTTAGGGTCTGATCTCTGAGGTGACGGCGTGAGGCACGGGCAGAGCTGCATGACCAAATGCAACCAAGGCGGCCGCGCTAAAAAAGATATCCCCAAACCGCTCTATATAGAGGTCTGAATACTCAATACTTAACTTAAGTAGTTCTATTTCATACACGCTTATAGTCTGTGTAATCATGTTGTAATTTATCCCAAAGCTGACAGGAGCCAGAAAGATGGCTGATCGTTTTGCTTGACAGCGCTTCTAGTGACAGTTAGACCAAACCTGCCAACCCTGTTCGGATCCTGAACCCTACGTCAAAACCCGCCAGACACCTAAACTGTTTGGGGTACCATAAGGGGTTCTTTAAGGGCTCATCGATAAGAGTTCTTAGTAGTAGGGTAGGTGATCTTCAACCTTTCTGGGTGTATTATATTCCGGAAAAATACTCCCCAAGGTTAACCTGTAGTTCCCCTAAAATCCTGGACAACCAAAGATAAAACAGTCAGGCTCTGGGCACCAAGAGCAGACTCGGACGACAATGACAACCTTGGCGCTTAGCATAGCAGATTGAGTCATTGCAAAAAGAATTTCCCAAAGGCCTCCCATGTATGTATATACACACATGTACATATATGTAATGTATGTATGTATATATATATATACATATGTTTCATATGCTTATCTATCTATGTGTATATATGTATACATACATATACCCATATGTGTAGTATATTCTGCAGCCTCCTGCTAGCCTGCTCTGATTGCTCAGCCCCCGATCAGTAGGTTGAGGCTGCAGGCAGACTACTGGTGCCAACGACTAGCACACAGAGAGCCCAATACCCTTTACTAAGGAATATACCGGTGTCCTGATATTAAAGCCCTTAGTCATCATCGAAGGTACATTCCTCAAGTAAGGGGTATTGGGCCCTCTGGGCAAGGGGTTCCGAGGCAAAGTTTGCTCGAGGGTCGTTTCGCTTGCAGTGCTTCAGGACTCGACTCTTCCGGTGTGTTGTAAAACCCGAAACCCTAAACCCTTTATAGGGCTTAGGATCCAGGCTCCAAAACCCCTAACACCCTAAGCCCTTGATGGCTCTTCGACCGTACAGACCCAAGCTTATGCACCCTGGACCTTACAACCTTGAGCCCAGAGCCCCAAACCCCAACAAGCAACAGGCTCTAAATCCTAAACCTTAAGAGTTTAGGGTTTACGGTTCAGGGTCCTATGCCGTAAGGCTCCGAGGTGTGAGTGGTGAAATCGTAACCCTTAAACCCTAAACCCTAGTCTAAACCGACGCCCCGAGATTCTTGGTGCAGGATACTCCGGTCTCCCTACGCAGCAGCGCTGCTTCAACGGTATCTTCAGCGGTGTGCCGCCAAGCTGCTCGGGCAACCCCTGCTCGTTCGAAGGCCGATTCCGCTTGATCCGTAGGCCCTCGGAACCCTAAACCCTACCTATAGTCTCCGTTGTAGTTCCTTTTTGGGGTTACCTTATAGGATCCCAATTCCCAATATATAAACAGGTTAAACCAAAAAAAGGAACTACAATGGAGACTATAGGTCAACCCAAACTTTGGGATCTAAAGCCCAACAGTTAAAAGCCGTTCAAGCTCCGCAGCGACAGAACTGGGTCTTTCAACCAAAACGTCAACCTCCACTTGTAGCCACTGTTTAGGGTTCCTTATGGGGGCTTCCATCTTATCGTGGTTCCGTCAGGTAGGCCTTTGGGACACTTTTAGGGCTCTATGGTTCTATAGTATGGTTCCTTAAAAAAATATATTTTTCTATATTATGGTTCCTTCAGAAGGTATATATTATGATTCCTTACAAGGTATAGAGTTCTACAATATGGTTCCTTTAAGAGGTAGGTCTTTTGGGCCACAGGGCGTCCTAAACCTTACAACCTGGAACTCTAAGCTTTCTTAGTCGGCACTCTACCCTTAAAGTGTCTTGGGTACTGTTGGGCTGGGGTTTAGGGTTCAAGGTTTAGGGTAGGGTTGAACTTTTAGGGTTTAGCGCTTCGGGGGTAATTTCCGAAACCCTACTAGACTAATGATTCTTAATTCTTGGAGCCCTACATTGTACTATGTAGCTACTTAGGACCCTTGGGGCTAAACCTTAACGCCCTGGTGTTAATGGATTGGGGTTCTTTAAACGCTCAGACCCCGAATCCTGAAGAATGTCGATAGACAGTTCTGACTAGCACATCTAGGATCAACACTTCTAGCCTAAACCCTAAACCCTTTAAGACGGTGACGTGGAGTACTATGAAACCACCAGTTGCTTTTTCTTCTTGGGCTGTGCCGTTGTGGATGGAAGGGTCGGTCTCTTCCGAAAGCAACATCCCGACTGCTTCCAAGAACGTGCGATCAACAACAGCCATAATAACCCAGACGTAGTACTAGTCAAAATAACAGTAATAGCAACAAGAACAATACTAACAATGGTACTAGCAATCATAATAATCATTAGAACAATGGTATTCTCAAAAACAAAACCATCAACCCTAACTTTGGTCAGCTTGGAAGTTTGCCGGGTGGGGATGTTCGGAATCCCTAGAAGAATGAGAAGGATAATGTCCTTCCCCCAGGCTGTACATAATCAGACTACCGTAGGTTTGTTGAAGTTCATGGGTGGTTATTATAAGTGCGGTTACAAGTCGGCTAAAAAATCCTTAGCCGTAAACCCTAAAGCCCTAAACCCTAAATACAAGTAGAACCCGGGGACTAGTAGCCCCACTTCTAACTACCCCTGAACCTCCAAGTTGGGACGCGCACTCGGACCTTTGAAGCAGTTTGCATATGCTGCTCCTTGAACAATCCCTAAACTCCTAAACCCTAAACCCTTTTGCATCCAGGCCTATTGCAACTGCCGGGTACCCTAAATTCCTAAACTCCTAAACCTTAAACCCTAAACCCCAATCTCGAAGCCTGCGGTTTAGGGGTCCCTGATCTCTGAGCGCTAAACATGGGAGGCTTTCAGCTCGGCAAGGGGGTCAACGCTTCTACCTGCTTCGGTCTCGTGACACGGGAAGCTTGCCCGCGACATGAGCATGATCGGGGTGTAGGGTTTATGCCATGGTGGGCTTGCCTTTCTGGGCCAGAAAACTCGGCAACTATCCTTGAACGGGTCTGAAGTTCGTAATCAAGAGCAGTTTGGCTCAGAATATGTCCGATGCTTCCTAACAGAGTCGGCTCACGGACTACGGTACGGTCAGAACCTACAGCCTTCCACGGCTGGCAGGCGCCGGGCTGTGATAAAGAAGCAGATACCAAAGTCTGAATTGATGGACTCAGCTCTTCCGGAGAGGTGAGGGAAAGCCTGAAGTAACTGTGGAAAACGTAAACAGGCAGCGAGCGTATCGCTGGTGACTCCATTCTTAAGGTTTCGGCCGACCTACTCAAACAAGTTAAGACAGGCCTCAACCTCAAAAATGCATCGTGTTCCTTTGCCTTTCGGGTTCCCGAAACACCCCATGCGACCCCAGTACAGTAGTTTACGCCCCCATAAGCACCTAGAGTCCCAGAGAAATCTGCAAGCCCCTGTAGATCCCTAAACCCTATATAAGCCCTACCCTTCAATTGCGTTGTGAGACGAGGAGACGTGCACGCTCAGCTGCTTGCGGGGCCATACCATTGAAGGCCCCTGGGCTGGAGTTCCCCAGGGCTTCTTCAGCTTCCTTAAAAGCTTTCAAAATGACTTACAACAAGTTTAAGATCACAAGGCTTTAAATTTGTGTTTATGAAGCCTTTATAGTCTATAGGATCTTTTGGGGTTTAGGGGAACCTGATTTTGTGTGGTGCTATAGACAAAAGGGTTGACTCGAGGGTTTGCATTTAGGGTTGGCTCCAGGTGACATGTATTGTTTCTTGAACAGGCCTGAGAAACACCGGCGTGCGTCTTCCAGCATTGGCCTGGCTTGTGGGTTCAACGAAACCATGAATCGAAGTTACTACGGGCCCAAGGGTAATATAGAAGCCTAAATAATTACCTATATTACTGTTAGGGTTCCTTATTATAACAACACTATAAAAAGGAGCCGGAACCCCTATTCAAACTATTGAGGCCCCTACATTATTGCTGGCCCCACGTACGTCCTTAAACCTGGAACCCAAGCTCCGGATGAAAATCTGCCAACTGGCGCTTTCTAATGTTGCAGGCCAGGGAGCTCAAGCGCATGCACCGAATTCTCGCGATCAGTTGATTCCGTCTTGATGTCCACCGTGGCATAATCTTACGTAACTTAAGGTACTCTTGGGTCGAACAGTCATGGCACAGGAAACGACCTCGTCTTGACGTGCCAAGCCAGCGGCGAGTTCACCGCCACAGATGCCGTGTGTGTTGCCCGACCTGTTTGGAAGCCATCGGAAACTCCATATAACTGCATATAAACAACGACCTTACACCGTTCCATCGGAAATGATATTGAAGACGACCTTAGACCGTTGGTTCTCTTTTGAAAGGACCCCCCCCCCCCAACCCCCCAAACATGCGTCACACCCCCTGAGGCCAAGAAACCCCGCACTCTCCACGTCGGCTCTGCAGGGTCAGTTCTATGATCCACGGTTTAGGGTTTAGGGTTTAGGGGTTTAGGGCTCAGGGATCCTCACCTGCCAGGTAGTATTAGGGAGACCCCTCAAATGGGGACCCTTCTTCACCCTACTTGTGGCTCTCTTGAAAGGAACCTCATTGAGAGGGTCTATATCCCCAAGGGCCCCCCTAATCCCAACTCCGATACCTACAGTACCTATAGGCTCCATTATAGTTCCTTTTTGTGGTTTATGTTTAGGACCCTACAGAGCAATCTCAGCAAGGAACTACAATGGAGCCTATGGGCATCATAGACCCTGATTCTGACTATGCTCTCCTTATGCATGACTAGTTAGCAGGGGATTCTAATATCCAGGCCGTTGACCTCTACCATATTCATACCCCATTCATATCCTAAACCCCTGAACCCTAAACCCTAAGCCTTAGTCTTGTAGCTTGTAACATCAGGAGAAGTTTGAAGAACTTCCAGTCCAGACGAACCCCTACGCCGTCTTAGACTCCGGGCTTAGGGATTGAAACCCTAAAGTCTAACAGGATTCAGGGTTGAGAGAGAGAGGGCCGTTTAGGGTTTAGGGTAAATCCTAAACCCTAATATCGCACTCAGCCCACAGCCGCCCGACCGACACATCAGCCCTGCAAACCCCGCCCCAAGCGCTGAAAACGCTGGCAAGCTCCAGACTCACGCACCCCGAAGCTCAATGTGGTTTCGGTTCGGAAAGGAATGTCAAAGCCTGAGTTACCGACATTATTCCCTAGGTTCCTTATAATGTTTGTACTACAAGATGCCCCACATCTGTGCTCTAATTATCAAGGCCCCATATAGGTGGTTAGCCTTTGGAAAGTCTCGGTTTAGGACTACGGGAAACTGCAACTTTGGGCCTCGGGCAAGAAGTGGCCAACAAAGACCCTAACAGTGTAGGGATTTAGGGATACTACGGATCCTTCATAATATAGTCATAGTACGTAGTATAACAAACGCCAGAACCACATACCTATGTATGTATATATATATATACACATATATATATATATATACATATGTGATACTATTCCCATCCCGACAGGATTCGCACTATAACTCTGAACAGGTCTCTTTGTACTCCTACAGGTCAGGGGTTCTCTCTCTCTCAGGGTTCGTATTCCGCCGCTTCTTGCAAAATTCGTGGGGTGATGATGGGCCTTGGTACCCCCGAACATCCCGGCAGGGGCCTGAACATAACTACATAGCCCAACAACCCTACTGAGGCTCTTAACCCCAATTTGTAATTGTTAGACTAGGGTACAGCCCTAAACCCTAAACCCTAAACCCTAAACCCTAAACCCTGCATATCTCCCCGAAATCCTTTTCTGAGTATCAGCTCGGGCCTCTCCTGAACCTGCAAAACCACTACCTTAAGAACCCAAAACCCAGTTTTTTTGTAGGGTCCCTATAAATCCACTATCAGGGTTTATAATAAGAACCAACAAAAAAAAAAAGGGGTTTTGGATTCTTAAGGTAAACCTTAAACCCTAACCCCCCACCCCCCCCCCGCCCAAAACCTTGAACTCGTCGTTGAGGTACCTGCGCAGTGTGGTGACCTTACCTTGGTCTCGCCATTTTCGTCTCCTTCCGTGCCTTGGTGTCGAGGTTCGGGGTAAGGGATTTCGGGTTAGGTCTGTAGGGTCTATATAGAGATTAGGGTAAGGGATTTCGGGTTTCCTAAACCCTATAAACCCTAAACCCTCACCCAACACATAGTATCACACCGACTATCGCACCTATGGATCCTCGCCTGGCTTGTCCGAGTTGTGAGAGTGTCCACCCTAAAGCCCGGAAACACCCAGAGATTCCGTTATCCCTTAATTAAGGAATATACCTTAAATTATAGTAGGATCCCTAACATGATTTAGGGTATATTCCTTAATTAAGGTGTATTGGAGTCTCTGGGCAACTACCCTAAACCCTAAACCCTAAACCTACCCCACATCGAGGTCAAGGCCGGAGGTCACGAAGATCTGGCTCCGGTGTTTTAGGGTTTTTAGGGTTTAGAGTTTAGCGTCTTTTTTTTGGGTTTTAGGGTTTTAGGGTTTAGGGTTTTAGGGTTTTAGGGTTTGGGGCTTTAGGGTTTTAGGGTTTTGGGTTGCTGAGGTGGTTTCTAAGGCTTCAGGCTCGGGATCAGGGATGTTTTCGCCATGCATTGCCGGACAATGTCGGACTTGAGAGTATGCGTCTTTGAGTTTGGTATACTACTGGAGTCTGTGATCTGAATTGCTAGCAGCAGGGCCCCGTTAGATAAAGTCCCTGTGCCTGTATACTTATACTTATACTATAAGATACCCCGAAACCCTATTCCTGTAATATACTAGATACCCCCAAACCCCATTCCTTTAAAGTCCCTGTGACACTGTATGATGCTCATACTATAAGATACCCCCGAACCCTACTCTAATGGAAAGGCTTTTTGGGCTACTATAATGCTTGTATGAGCCCAAAGGTTAACCTTTAGTTCGCTTAGGATACCGCACAAGAAAGAGAAGATACCCCCAAGACCCCATTCTGGCAAAGGCCCCAACCCTATTCTGGCACAGGCCCCCAAACCCGACTATAAGATACCCCGAAACGCCATTCTGGCAAAGGCCCCCCGAAAGTTGGTCTTTCACTCCGAAACTCGGAGTCTGCGAGGGCCAGACCGGAGGATGAAGCGATACAGGAGCACAGCAAATAACATGTGCAGTTTGGGTTATTAGGTTTGGGGTATTCATATGTTAAAGGCGCCTTATTTCAAGCGTGCCGTCGCCAAACGGTGACTGAACACCTGTTCCTAATAGCACTTCCTAGGGCGATGTGTCCAGCAAGAATGCCGTAATTTGGGAAAGCCCCAGGTAGATGATTCCTGCTACGACGGAAATGTCAACAAGCAGTTTGGTGAGGCGGGTGACTCCTCTTTGACCTTGTGGCTTTCAATTCTTTAGTTCCCCTAGGATACTGGACGACCAAATCGGGCTTGTAATATAGGAGCCTAAAACCTAGACTATTTTTTGAAGGGGGTCTTATTATAACTGTAGTAGCATGTACACCAAAACCCTATTATAATCATTAAGACCCCAAACCCTAAACGCTGAACCCTAAACCCTAACCCTAAACGCTAAACCCTTAATTTATAGGCTTTAGGGTTTAGGGTGGTTCAAGCAGAGCCTGGGGCTTATAGTCTTCATGGCGTCTATTTCCAGGATGTTTGGGGTCTAGGGTTCAGGGTGTAGGGTCTAGGTTCAGGGTTTGTGGTTTAGTTTCAGGGTTTAGGGTTCAGGGTTTAGGGTTTAGGTTCAGGGTTTAGGGTTAGGTTCAGGGTTT